CTGTAAATAAAATGGCCCTGTCCGTGTAACATATTTTTAAACTTTTAGTTTAAAATTATAAAAACTAAACAGCCTACATTATTTTTACAGTCTTTATTTTACAGTTAAAATATGTTCATCAAATAAAGTTTAATGTTACAACTAATTGGGGATCCCTTTAAAAAAATCTTTATGAAATTTAAAATCTACTTCAGCTTATTTGCTCAATTTTTGTCTCTGTGCCCCATTTGTTCACTGTCCATACATTGTCTTTACACCTCAGTTTGTCCTTTATGTCTTTTGATGTTTCCTTGTGCATCATTTTGGCTTTTTTATGTTCCCTAGTGTGTTTATTTATATTTATTTCCACATCTTCGTTGTCTCCAGGCCTCCTTTCTCGTATTTTTGGCCGTCTTATATCTGTGCATGCATCCTTTTTATCATTGAAAGTTCAGCTTTTTTTTTTCAACTCACTTTTGAACTTTTACAGCACCGTCATTCAGAACTCTTGAACAGAAAATGCAGTTTCTCTAGTTTTGATTTGGTCTCAACTCGTTTCCAAAGAATCGACTTTAACTTGTGTTTTTCTGATCTGGCTTCAGGAAAGAACGACGGCTCAGTGGGCGGGAAGCACTACTTCCACTGTAACCCTGGGTACGGGGTTCTGGTGAGGCCGGACAGGGTCACCCGCGGCGGTGCCAAACGCCGTCGCCCGCAGCAGCAGCAGCAGCAGAAGCGCCGCAGCGCCAACCTGTCAGGGTCCAGTCCAAACCTGGCGGCCCTCACTGTTCTGGCTAAAGGCGAGGCCGGATCCGGCCGCGGCAGAGGGGACAGCCGCAAGTCCTGGAACACCTGAGAGGCTCCGACTCTGTCCGTGAGGAAAACTTCATGACAGATTCCCCGTCCAGCCCATTGCTGGAGGAGTCTGTGTGCAAAGAAGCTGCGGTTGCTTCCTGACCAGCTTCAACACAGAAACAAAGAAACAATGTTTCAGCAGGAATCTGAATGTTTTAGGTGCTGAGAGGCAACAAAGTGTTTCTTCATGTTCTTCTTTGGAACAGGCTGAACTACAGTGCTGTGCAAAGGTTTTGTGTTTCCTTTCTTTTCTTAAATTTGCTTCCTAATCAGTCAGACATTATTGTAATCTTTTAAAAGCATCKTCAGAAAAAGTTCTCCGGGTTTTTAAAAGAACTTTTAACTCGACTCATTTTCAGTCTTTTTTACTTTGTTTTAACCTCTCAGCTTTGGTAAAACAAAACATTAAGGTAAAAAAAACCCTCCTAACTCAAGGGATGAGCCAATGTTCTCCAGTCATCTTCAGAACAACTACAAAATGAAAATGAGAACTATTCGAAGAAATTAGCTTCAGAGGTTAAAAAACATCTTTAGAAATGTTGTTGCAGTGTTTTTGTTTGTCCTACAGCAGTGGTTCCCAACCTTTTTAGACTTGTGTAGCCCCTGAGCCATTTTGTCATACCATTCCCCTCCAGTCAAACATARTGACGATTCTTCAAAACTATAATGTACAACAACTGATTATTAATGACAATTATTTAACTCCCTAGAACATTTAAATCTCAGGCATTGTACTCTTTTCAACTCAAACTAAACAAAGATAAACACTTTGCCTTGAAAATGAATAAGTAATTAAATAAATAAACCAGGTAATGGCAGGCGCAGGAAGCAGCAGTGTCATAAATACACAGTAAAAATACATCAAATACCCCAAAAGAGCAAATTCTAAGAGATTCTGTGTTTTATATTGGATTCCATTTTGTGTCAATTTTGTGTTTCCGTTTGTATTTTCTACATGAGGTACATATCCCAGTCCTATTTTTAGTTTTTACACATCTGGGAAATTTTTCCACATACCCCCCTGTAATC